TGTATAGTGGAATTTTGCACCCTCCCTCCGTTCCTCCGTTTCTTCGTCTTCTCCCGTTCTCCGAGAAACATTTACTTTTAGCTTGCAGAGGCTACTGGGGCTGGCAGCTGAGTTTGCATCTCAACAGGGAAGCTCAGTGGCAAACAGGCCTTCGTCGAACTTTGCCTTGGCTTCTGTTCTTGTGGTTTGATGATGTTTTGCACAAGCGCAGCCAAGGAGTGAAAGTTGCTTCCGGAGAGGCTCCAGAGGCCAAAATCCGAACCGGAAGAGGCCGGGCTGCTCTCTCCCGCAGGGTCTTTGGCAGGGCTTCGTCAAACGACGGCGCAACACGGTGCCAAGAAGCCGCCAAAAGGCGCCTTCGTTTTCCTTGTTTCACGCCAGCGTCTCGAAGAGCGAGTGAACCTTGGCAAGGTGTTGAAGTACTCCCTCGGCGAGGAGGAGGACGTGCTGGGCTTCCAAGAGTCCAAGAGCTCTTGACGGCCGCCCCGAGTCCCGAGATGTGTCGAGGACTTCATGGAAGCTTTAGCCGATGCCTGAGACTCCGACATCTTTTCGAAAGAGGTCTGAGCTCTCTCTGACCTCGGGCCTTGTTTTGAGGTCAAAGAGACCCAGGCGGGCACTGGGCGATGCTTCGTCCTTCTGCCCACACGAGCCGCTCCCCTTGCAGGACGACGAGTCTGAGATCTTGAAGCACTGCGCGGGCCCCGCGACCCGCTGTCGTAACGCTGAGATCCCGTGCGCAGACGCTCCCAAGGCTGGTGGCGTGTGCTGAAGGGCAAGGTTGGGGAGAAGAGCGCTATCATGCAGATCACCATGCCGGAGGCCCATCTGCCCAAGGCTGCCAGCCTGCAGGCGGGTTGTTGCAATGCTGGCAGGAGCTCATTGGCGAGCTGCGGCAGCCGATGGAGGCCTCAGTATCAGCAAAGTCACACTCTCGGAGTTTCCGTCTTGTCAGGACCTTCTGCAGAGCTTCCGTCTTGGCGGCTGAAAAAAGGGAGAGATCTTGAGCTTCTTTTTGCAACTCGGTGATTTTCTCGCCACTGTTTGCCCTCTTTCGAGGTGATCTGGGGCGGTCAGGGGACCCTCATGAGAACAGACGAGGAGGACTTCATGCGAAGATGGACCCCGGTGGTCCGAGCCTCATAGCAGAGCAACTTGCTGTAGGACGGCCTTCAATTAGAGGCCTCTTTCCGGGTCCGGCCTCAGCGGAGGTACGGCAGCTGGCCGGGCCCAGCAGGCCCAGCAACAACGGCTCTCTTTCTCTCTCTCCCTCTCTGTCTGATTTGGGGGGCAAAGAGTGGCAAAGGCTGCTGTTGCCCAGCAGGATGGGTCGCAGCTAGCCGCAGCGGCGGCGGGGCACAGAGCTTCAGCCAATTTTCGGCGCACCGTTGCCAAAAGTGGTAGCTGCTGGTAGTATCGGGAAGTCGAAGCGGGCCTAGGGAGGGAAGAGCGTGACACTGCTTTGGCGAAGCACTGCTCAGGGTACACCCCCCGAAACGGCGTCCGACACACTCCGAGCCATGGCTGTGCACAGCAAGATGT